GCTATAAAATTGTTCTGCATGAAAATCACTCGAGAGAATCGGTTAGGCGCAACAGAGGACAAACGAACGAGCGAACCAATCTGCTACAGCACATAGAAAGCCCAACATCACGCTGGATTGAAGCTGGTATTGTTGATGAATTTTTTTAGCATCGGCAACAGTGTAAACCTTTAACAACAATTTGTTCTTCTGGAATCTCAAGAAGTAACCAGACAACTGTAGCGAACTATGGTTTCACATCTTGTCGGCACAAAAGAAATTCTATCTAAGAAGAAGTCAATAATGAAATGAGAATTGGCAGACAGAAATTGACTTTGACATTCAAAGTTAGATACTGCATTATGGCAGCAATTACCCAGAATCTTAATTTAGATTAATTCTTTATTCTTCTGAAAAAGTAACTAATAAATAATGAAGTTTGAAGAAGTCGATACAAAACAGTGTGAAAAGTTGTTCGGCTAACAGTGCTTTTCCCACTGAAATCAGCTTTCCGTTTTTCTAAACGGATTTGAAGAATAGAGGCTCCAGATATGTCTTCTTCTTGCATAATTTCCCGCGAGAAATAAAACCACGAACTACCTACGCCACCAAATAGTGAATCAACTAATGACAGTGCGACTCTGAAACAGATGTTTTCGCTGAGGTTCCTATTTAACCACCGTCAACCGTCTTCCATCAGCAGTAGATTTGCAACCGTTTTGCTAGGGGTGGAGAGAAGGGCGTTTGACGTGTTACATTGTGAAATTCTGAAATATCACGGGTCCCATTCCTATAGGCTCAGAGGTTATTCTTCAATATATTTAATACTGCAGTTGCAGCGATCTGACGTTATCATAGGTCAAATTGAGTACGAACGAGTAAACGGAATATTTTCAACTAATAAAACCATGTTTTTGTGTCGGTTGTCACATTTGGTTTAATGTCACTCCCTCGTGGAAAGTGGTACCACAACAAATCGCAAAAACCAAAGAAGAAAAGAAGAGGAAGCAAATTCGTCTGCCGAAGACAGTTCCGCATATTTAGTGACATATCCCTCGGTTAATAATTCTTTCATATTTTCACTTTCCCGTTCTGTTTCTTGGCACAATCTGGTCCTCTTTCTCGTACAGTCTGTTAGAGAAAAATACTTTTCTTAAACTGTATTTTCAAAAAATAAAAAATCGAGACGGTTTCCATTTGATAATCGTTTTCAAAAAGACTAAAAGAAGGTCGCTTTTTTCTGAGCATTTTCCTTCTCCTTTATTCTCCTCACCCCATTCTTTTCGCTGTCGCTGCTGATGCTATTTCTTTAGCAGAAGGGCTTCAGAATACGTATAGAAAATGGAGAAAAAAAAAGATGGTGAAAATAAAAAATAAGTAAATATTTCATTTTTCTCCTTATCATTGCAAAATATTATTGAAAATGCATTAAATTCTTGTTTATTTCTTTTTCCATCGCTCAATTAATCAACTTTAAATCATTGAAGTTTTTCCAGCTTGAAAAAAAGACTGAATAGATCTCTTTTTTTTCATTTTCAAAAAAAAAAAAAAAAAATTTGGGAAAGATATCTCCAATAAACTTCTAATCTGGATAGGAGTTTTATTGATCGTACAAAATAACAATTTTGACAGATGTTTTTCATTTGGCTTAATCAAGTGCGGTCAACAGGACAGTTCTAATTTACCCCATGTTCTTAAGTTGCTACTTAAATGACATCTATTGTCTACAGAATCCTATTAGTGATAATATAATTCTACTAAGTCTCAGGAAAATCTAAGAATGAACAGTCGTTTACTGCCAATCGTACAAGAGAAAAAAGCAAAATTTGCAGAAAGAAACCAAAAATTTCGCTACAGCACATACAACCTAGGCTTTCACTTAGCAATAGCTTTCGAAGACCATACAATGCAGATGATAGAGCAGCACAATCTCTTCACTAAATATGTCAGGCTTCAGCTAGCTTACTCCAGTACTTGTGTCTGTAATCAGATTTGTTTTACAATGCAAGAGAACCACTTTAAAAAGCCCACCTGGTACAATCACTTTCCATCCTTGTCAGTACCGTTCATTTTTAAGAGTTACGTCTTTAACAAAATGAATTCCCTTTCTTTTCTGGATGCATAAATATAAATCTGATGTTGTATGTTATGGACTTGTGTGACAAAGCAAAGAGCTATAACAAATGCCGTTGTTATGACAAAATTTTAAAAATCCCGCTGATTTAGAGAAAAAAAGAAAAGTAACTTTCATCCATTAAAAGCAAAGAAAGAAAAAAACGTTATCTCCCTGAAAGTCGACATTTCTGAAAAATTTTTGTTAGCACTGAACGAAAAATATTCTACATGAACAGAAACAACGCTGAATGCACAAAATAGTCAGCGATTCCGTAACAATGATTTAACAGGCGAAAACAACAAGATGAAGTCACTAGAATTCTAGTTACGAATGACGACAAACTTATATACTTTTCGCTTGCAACATCACTAAATTCAGCCCTTTAGTTAGTAGTTGCGAACTGAAAACAAATGAAAACACCTGGAAGACCTTAACGTTACTTATCTAATTGAGCAATGAAATCCAGGACTCCCCCCATTCAAATTGACACCGAACATCACCCACAACCTACTAGATTCTCTTCAAAAACATCTCCTACGAAATAATCGACAATAATTAATTACACCTGTACTACAATCCAGAATCAAGATGACCACCAAAACTACAAATCCACAACCTGTATTTAAAGTTCAAGTGTTCTAACAACTCTAACAGAACAATTACTTCATTCTTCACAAAGATCACTATATTCAACCTGATAAACATCATTCTACTTTGACCACAGTCACCTAAATCTTGCAACACTATAATACTCAAGCAGTCACTATTCAGAAGATATATGCACTGAATTCGACGTAGCAGAAATGACACCAAATTACAAGCAAAAAAAAAAAAAAAA